CTAGCCCAGGAACTGACAGAGAGCTGAGACCAGCAGCTGGGCAGGAAGCAGAGGAGCAGGAAGAGATCCCAGAGCACCCCTGAACCGGTGCAGGGTGGAGGAGTGGAGCCATTGGGCAGTTCTGCCACCCACTCCCAAGTTCTGAGTCAGACGGGGTGGGGGTGGGGAGAAAGAGGTCTGCACCTAGGGGTGGTGGCAGTCTTGGGCCCTGGCTGTTTACTGAGTAAGGAACAGGTTCAGAAGACAACAGAAGCATCGCTCTGGGTTCATCTCAGAAGCAGGGAGGGGACTCAGTCTAGCCTCCAACACAGTCCGCAGTGAAATACCCAGAGCAGGAATCCTAGGCCAATGGGGAGCTGGCAGGTCAGACACTCTGAACCCGCAGAACCTCCCAAGTGGCCGAGTCCCAACCCGGGACAAGCCAACAGACCCAAACCTGTGTCAGGAACATGCAGAGCTCACATCAGGAGGACAGGAAGCAGACTTCGCCTTGGATCACACCCCTTTAAGGGCACTAAAAGCTTGTAGGCCCCCAACCTTAGCTGTGAAAGCAGAAGATGCTCAGCAGCTGAGGCCAGAAATCCCCACCCCCTACAGAGCTCACCACTAACATCAAGTCCAAAGTCAAGAAGTGGGCTCAAAGAATGAAGAAACAAAAAGGCTCCCATCATAAAAAGCAATTATGGAGACAGTGAAACTTAAGAAACAAATCCGAAAGAAGAGAATGACTCAAAAACATCTGTAAAGAAAAATGCAGTTTGGGCACAAATCCAACCAGAATTCCTGGAGGAGTTTTTAAAAAAGAGAGAGCTAAAAAAATGACTTGTTTAAAAAACAAATGAGAGAGGTAGAGGAAAAATGGGGAAAGAAATGAGAGGTATGGAAGAAATTTATGTAAAGACAATTAGCAGGTTGGAACAAAGATATACAAAATCTTAACCGAGAAAATAACAACCTGGAAATTAGAATTGACCACAAATGGAAGCAAATGACACCATGAGACATCAGAAATATTAAAAATAAAGTCAAAAGACTGAAAAAAAAGGAGAAAATGTGAGGTATCTCAAATCAAAAACACTTGACCAGGAAAACAGATTGAGGAGAAATAATTTAAGAATCATCAGACTACCTGAAAGCTATGACAAAACAAAAACAAAAACAAAACCCTAGACATTATGTTTCTAGAAATCATAAAAGGAAACTGCCTGGTATTCTTAGAATCAGAGGGCAAAGTAGAAATTGAAAGAAGCCACTGGTCACCTCCTGAAAAAAAAACCCCAAATAAAAACTCCTAGGAATATTATTGCCAAATTTCAGAGCTCCCAGGTCAAAGAAAAAATACTACTAGCAGCTGGAAAGAAGAAATTCAGCTACTGAGGAACCAGAGGTTCACGAAAGATTTAGTGTCCGCCACTATACAGGAGGGGAGAGCTTGGAATACAATAATCCAAAAGTGAGAGAGGCAGAATTTCAACCTAGGTCTTCTGGCTCCAAAGTTCAGGACTCTTCCCAGAGTTCCACAGGTCAGTGAAGCATCTAGGGAGTCAGCTCTGCCCTGGGGCCTTCTTTGGCTCATTCAGTCTTAGAGCTAGAACCTTTTCATTTTACTGAGGAGGAAACTGAGGCCCAGAAAACTGAAGTTATTTGCCCAAGCTCACACAGACAGCATACGACAGTGCCAGGATTCAAAGCCAGGCCCTCTGACTGAGTGCAGTTGCAACTTAGTTTCTATTATACCAGGCAGCCTTGCCACCATTTTACTCTCCTGTTCAGACCTACTAGCACCAGCCCCTGTAGACCATAGACGGTGGACGAAGGTGGCTGGTCACTTCAACAATTTAGTGCACCCTCATTCAAGGATGCTTGGGTGAAGGCTACTCTCCCCTGGGTGGAGAGTGCTTCCTCTCACTGCCACAAGGGGGTGCTGCCGAGAATCCCAGCTCTGCCACCCAGTTGTTCAGTCCTGTCTAACTCTCTGGGACCCCATTTGGAGTTTTCTTGGCAGAGATCCTGGAGTGGTTTGCCATTTCCTTCTTCAGCTCCTTTTACAGATGAGGAAACTGAGGCAAACAGGGCTAAGGGACTTGCCCAGGGTCCCACAGCCAGTGTTTGAGGCCGGATTTGAAACCTAACTCTGGACCCAGCACTCTATGCACCATACCACCTAGTCCCTATGTGACTTTTGGCACTTACCCAACTCGGGTCTTATTTTCCTCACCTGTAAAATCAAGGGGTTGGACTCCAAGGCTCTTTCCAGATGCTAATCGGTTATTCTAATCCTCTCGTCAGGACGGTAACGGGGGCCAGGAGCTTGGGAACCCGAGTGTAATGGGGGGAGTTTAGAGGCTGGGGATGAGGACTTAGAGCTGTGGAAACTCCCGAGTGTGCAAGCTCCCTCCACTGATGCCTATCAATGCCTTCTCTACGACTTGGAGCACAGAGAACTTGGGTAATTCTCCCAAGCTCACATAGCCAGTATATGTAAGTGGAATTTAAACCTGGGTCTTCCTGTCTCTGAGACCAGAGTTCTTTTTTTTTTTTTTGTGAGGCAATTGGGGGTTAAGTGACTTTCCCCGGGTCACACAGCTAGTAAATGTCAAGTGTCTGAGGCCGCATTTGAACTCAGGTCCTCCTGAATCCAAAGCCACCTAGCTGCCCCCTGAGGCCAGTTCTTCATCCATCATACCACACTCCTTCCTAGCGGTTCACATCCTTACTTTGATTCAAAAAATAGCTGTGTAGGGGTAGCTAAGTGGTGCAGTGGATAGAGCTCTGGCCTTGAAGTCAGGAGGACCTGAGTTCAAATCCAGCCTCAGACACTTGACATTTACTAGCTGTGTGACCCTGGGCAAGTCATAACCCCTGATTGTCTCACCCAAAAAAAAAAAAAAAGCTGTGTGATCTTGAACAATTTCTCTGGGCTTCAGTTTCCTTCTCTATAAAATGAGTGGGCTGTGCCAGATGTCCTCTGGGATAATAATAATAGTGGCACTGTGTTAAGCACTCTAGAAATATTATCTCATTTGATCCCCACATCACCCTTGCAAGGTAAGTGCTATATTATCCCCATTTTACAGTTGAGAAAACTGAGTCAAAGAGAGGTTAAGTGACTTGCCCAAAGCCACACAGCTACTAAGACCAGATTTGAACTCAGGTCTTCCCGACTCCAGGCCTGGATGGCTAGCCACTGTGCTAATTAATTGGATGCCTAGGTCTTTTCCAGATTTAGATTTGTGATCCCACGATTCTTGGAGACACCCTAGCAAGGCTCCTCCCCCCCCCGGGGGCAACCGTCCTCCCCGGAGTGTCCTAAGCACAGACAGGAAGGGCATCGTCACAGGCTCCCACCTACCTTCTCCTGTCCCCCTGCAGGCCAGCAGGAGCACCAGAGGCTCCCATCATCGTAGTGGGCAACAAACGAGACCAGCAACGACAGCGCTTCAGCCCCCGGAGGGCCCTGGCTGTGCTGGTGAAGAAGAGCTGGAAATGCGGCTACATGGAGTGCTCGGCTAAGTACAACTGGCACGTGGTTCTGCTCTTCAAGGAGCTGCTAAGCAGTGTCCTAGCTAGGGGCTGCAAGCACAGCCACCCAGCCATCCGCCTGCAGGGCGCGCTGCACCCCCATCGCTGCAGCCTCATGTGACTGCAGCGTGGACTCTCTCGTGCTGGTTCCCAGAGACTTTCCTGGTTCAGGGAAGCCCCATCTGGATGCACTTTCTGCTGGGAGACCCTAGACTCGCTCTAGGCCATGTCCTTTGTTGGAGTTGGGGAGGGGGAAGCTGGCAAAGGGGAACCCAGCATCCAGACCCTCCCCAGATGGGACAGCAAGGGCCAAGGCAAGGCCCCAGCTAGGGCAGGAGGGCTCCTGCGCAGCACAAAGGACCCTGACGCCAGGGCTTGGGAGGGTGACCCCACATGTGTCCCCCAAGGGCTAGTCTATCCTGCTCAGGGCCAAAGCTGACCGAATAAAGAGGAGACGGCCCAGCTCCATCTCTGGGGTGGGATGGACTGGGGGCTGTGGCTCAGACCAGGAAGGATGACGGCTCTGGATGGTGTAAGCTGGAGTCCCTCCCCAACCGCTTCTTGCTCTGTGACACTAGCTGAGTCCAGAGCCAGGAGTCACCAAGCCATATCAGAGAGAATCCTGGGAAAGGAACCCGCACTGGGGCATCCCCAAACCCACAGTCACACAGCCTTTGCTTGGAGACCCCCAGGGAGGAGGAAACCAGCCCTTTTCGAGGCAGCCCATTCTACTTTGGGATGGCCCCGACTATCAGAAAGTTCTTCCTGCAGTGCAACGCTCAGCCACGGCTGAGGGTTCTGCTCCCCTGCAGCTCTGGCATCTGGCCCCCACTGCAGCCACCACCCAGCACTAAACGAGCCCAGTTTCTTCAGATAGCCCTCTTATTGATTTGAATATTTTTTTGAGGCAATCGGGGTTAAGTGACTTGCCCAAAATCACACAGCTAATAAATATCTAAGGCTGAATTTGAATTCAGGTCCTCCTGACTCCAGGGCCAGTGCTCTATCCACTATGGTGCCACCTAGGGGCCACCCCAGAGAGTTCTCCTATGACATGGACTCCAGGCTCTTCACTTTGCTGGTTGCTTTCTTCAGAGGCCTCGCCAGGTTACTGGTGGCCTTCCCCACGAGAACCAAACAATGTTCCATCTCCGCTCTCTGAGCATCACTTTCCTCAACTGTAAAACAAAGGAGGTTCTTTCTAGCTAAAAATATGATCCCTTAAAGGCAACATCGCCCAGCCTGGGGGTCTTTCCCTTCTGGAGGTGGACGAGAAGCAAGTCTGGCAAGAGACACGAGTGGACAGCATGGGACGCCCCAGGAGCCGGACAGCTGCAAAATGGGCCCCAAACTGGATGCAGATGCCCTAGCATGCCAACCCTAGCATGTCTTGGATCCTTGCCCACCTCCAGCCAGCCCACCCAGGGTGGGGGAAGGGCTCCAGATGACCCCCCACCCCCAATAAACACACTGAGGGCGATGGACACTAGTTTACTCTTGTCAGCTAAGAATCTCTCAGGGCCAGGAAGGCTTACAGAGCAGGGGAGGGGGTGGGGGTCTTCAGCAGGGCCAGGGCTTGGCCTAGGGCTCTCTCTCTCTTCACACACACACACACACACACTCTCTCTCTCTCTCTCTCTCTCTCTCTCTCTCTCTCTCAATATATTAGATTTAAATAGATCTGCTATGCCCACTTATACAGTACAGGGGAGGGATGGGGGGACAGTCCAGGCCACCTGCCTCCCCTCAACCCTAAAGCCACAAACTTAAAAAGTCAGCCGCAGTCTCCTCTTTCCCTGACATTGGTCCCTGGACTCAGGGAGCGGAAGTCTGATGGGTCCGATGGACCCAGTTAGAACTAAGGCCACAGAGGAAGGAAGAAGGGGCTGGGGGGGCAAACATAAGGGGGGGCCCAGCTGGGGGGCCAACAGCAATGCTAATTCTGTCCCAGCCCTAGCCTCGGTGGTCCCAGGGAAGGGGCGCCCCAGCCATAGTGGCAAGGACTCGGAGGGGGTCACATACAGGCACCCTCCTCCTGCCTAGTCTCTCCCCTTGGCACCTGAGCCAGGGGCTCCAGAAAGCCCGAGAGGGCTGAGTGCAGACCCTGCCAGGCCCTGTGATCGGCTGAAGGCCTGCGGGGGGCCAGAGGGGTAGGGATGCGGGATGGCTTTCGGTCTGGCTGGTTGTCCACCCGAGGACGGGCGCATGGTCTTAGCTGGTCTGCAGCCAGGGAGGGCCTGGCCGGCCGGAGCCCTGGCCCCCCCTGCTCCTCCCCCGAGCCTGCGATTTCCACCTCACTCCAGCCCGCCTCAGGTACCTCCTGCACATCATTGAGAGCAGGGCAGTAATTACTCTCATCTGAAGAGCTGGAGAGAGCCGGGCCCCGGCGGCGCCCCTCGCCTGAGCCATTGGGGACGGTGGCCAGCCCATCGGGGGCCGACCCCATGCGGGAGGCCTCTGCGGGGGGGCCGTGCTTGCTAAAGAAGTTGAGGGAGGATGAGGAGGAGCTGGAGGAGCAGTATGCAGAGTCAGGGGCCACAGGCTCCGGGGTGGTCTGGGGGGCCTGGGGCAGGGAGGCCCTTTCGGCCTCCAGCGCCTTCGAGTTGGCCAGGAATTCCTCCTCCAGGCAGCGATACAGCTGCTGCTCCTGCCGCGGGTCCAGGGGGGCCCGGAAGGTCCGAGCCAGCTCCTCAAGTTCCTGGCAGAGGGTGTCTACCACCTGCAGGGGCTGGGGGGGGTCTGGGACCGCGGGGGGCGGGGGCCGGGCACGGGGAACGGCGGGGCTCCTTGCCCTGGGGGTGCTTCTGCCGGAGCCACAGGGGCGAGCCCACGAGTGCTGACCGTCCCTGTCTCGGTGGATGAGAAGCATCGCGTGGTCCTCCCGGCCCTGGCTGCGGGCCCGCCGGGCAGGGCTCGGGGCTGCCAGACGGGCATCTCTTCCGCTGTGGGCGCCTCGGGGCCGACCTCGCTCCTCTACACGGGGATTGGGCCCGGGGCCCCGATCCCGGGACTTGCTCCGGTGCGCTGGGGGTCTCCTGAGTGGAGCTGGGACCCTGGTCACTCGGCTGTTACTGTCCTTCCGGGGTCCCGGGGACCCCTCTTCACCCTGGCAACAGCCCAAGACGCCGCTCTGTGCAGAGGAAGCTGACGAGTCACTGTCACCTGAGCAGCGGCGGGACCTGGGGGGCAGCTGATCCCGGGGCCTGAGGAAGACAAAGGGAGCTGCGGTTGGAGGACACCGGGGACCCCAGGAACAGGAAGGCTGGCGAGACCGAGTCCCTCTGATACCCAGGCCACAGGCCCTCTGAAGCCCCGCCCCGACCTCTTCCCCATGCAAGGACGGCTCAGCAGGCCACCCCTCCCCCCACCAGAGGGAACTGGCCCCAGGCTTGGGAAGGAGGGGGGCCGGGGCTGCACCCAAGCCCGGACTGTTAGTTTAGGTCGCCATGGAGACAGGAAGCTTGCCACGCTTTTTCCCTGGGAATGAGTCATAGCTGGGTGGCCAGGGTTCTCTCTTCCTGCGGCACAGACCGGATGCGTAGCTCCGGGCTTGGAGTAACCCGTTGAGGACCAGACTGGGATAGCAAGAGTCTTCACTCCCCCAGCCCCCTTCTGCCCCCAATCCTGACCCAGGCCCTACCTCGGTGGGTTGGATTGTCGAGTTTCTGGCCCATCCCGATGGCCTCGGGGGTTTGCGCAGGCCTGAGGGGAACCTGCTCCCCCAGCCCCAAGACGGGCAGGGAGCCCCTCAGGCCTAGAGCCCCGGCGCTCCCCTCCTGGGGCAGGACTCCCCGCGTCTGGCCAGTGCTGAGCCCCGGGACTGGAGGGTCGAGGGCTGGGGGCCGGGGATGCCTTCTGTGGAGAGAAGGCCAGTGCCCGAGGCTGGGGCAGCCGGTGTGCTGCAAAGACAGAGAGGGGCAGGGTCAGCGTGGGAAGCTCCCTCCGGGGTCACCAGCCCCCTCCAGCCCTGAGGAACTGTTCAACAGTACCCATGCACAGGGTTAGACCTCTGGATGTGGAAGCACCTTCAAAACCTGGCAGAGCAGACCAGTGCTCTCACATTCGCAGCCTGAGGCCAAAGCGTTTGCTAGAGAGTCTGTCTTTGAAGCCAGACCACCTGTCAAGTCTCAGCTCTGACACATGCTGGTTGTGTGACCCTGGGCAAGTCACTTCACTAACGTCTCTAAGCCAACTCTCAGGCGGGGCTTCCTAACCATTTCTGTCATAGCTCCCCACCCCAGCAGTCTGGGGACAGCCATGGACCTTTCTCTGAATCATAGTTTTAAATGCATAAAGTGAAAAACAGAATTACAAAGGAAAACCAATTACTGCAGAAAATACCACGGTTTTAAAGACACTCATTGGTCCCAAGCCCATGAGGTGGGGCCCTGGTAGAGGGAGCTCCTCCCTCAGAAGGTCCCAGTACCAATGAAATCATAGCTCTAATCCCAGGCCTATTCCAAGGTCACGTACATTGAAAGTAGAGATTCAAGCCCAGGTCACACATTGAAAGTAGAGATTCAAACCCAGTTCTACCGGCTTCGAATCCAGGGCCCTTTCCACTAGGTTATTTCCCAGGACTTGGCCAATGCTGGGTGCTTTGGCCTAGGGAGGGGATAGTGACCCGGCTAGGTGCAAGGGCTGACTCAGAGCTGGGGAGAGGCTCCAGGTGAGTGCAGGGGGGCCCTCCTCCCTTCCGCCCTCCACACCCCACCCTGTACTCACAGAGAGAGGCACACCGACATGGGTCATGCTTATCCAAGTAATGTTCCAGTGTGTCCCAGCCTCCTCCCACCCTCACCATCACGTGGCTTCGAAGGACCTGAGGGGGAAACAAGTCCTGGTTCTCAGAGCTCCCCAGGGAACAGACCCCCTTCCCACACCCTGTGCCCGAAGCAGCTGCCTGAGGACTTCCCTGGAACTGGATGTGGGTGTTGGGACTGGAGGGAGTTCAACTGGCTTACACCCCATCCCAAGAAATGTCCCCAAAGCTGCCAGCAACTCTACCCTTGTCCCCAGGCCCTAACCTAGCCAGGGCCCAGAGATCTCAGGTTAGGGGGCAGAGACTCCGGCCTGGACAGACATACTCGAACAAAGATGAGGGCGCTGGAGTCCCCCACTCTGTACTTCCCCTCCGACACTTTGATCATGGGGAATTGGTCTGGGCAGGTGCAGTGGCCCAAAATCTCTCGAACCTGTGGAGACAGAGGAGTCAGAGGTCAAGATCTCCCCTTGGCCCAAGGTGGAGGTGGCCGGGGGCCAAGTGCCTTGGGAAGAGGCAGGAGGAAGTCTCAGGAGAAGAGCCAACAAAGCTGATGGGGGTGATGGGGGGAGGAACCTTGAACCTAGACCAGAGGAACACAGAATCCTGCTGATTGCACCTGATCTCTTCTTCAAGGACATCTGGAGACTGGTACTCTGGCTCCTTAGTCCTGGCACAGATGGACGGGGGGGGCAGAAGACATATTTGGGGACCCCGAATTAGCTGGGTGTTTCTTCTGGGCAGTGGAAGAAAGTGAAGGTGTCTAGATTCTCTTGCCTGGTTCCCTTGCCTTCCCACCAAGAAGATGGAGAGATGGCCTGATGGGAGTGGCCAATGGCTTGATGGGCCTTGAAGACCCAAGCATGGTCCCTGATCTTTCCCTCAGTGCTAGAAGGCTTCTTCCCCTGCTCTCACTACCTGCCCCCTGAGAAAGGAAGATACAAGGGGTCAGGGAATCTGATGGCATGGAGAACTTTGGGGTCCCTCCCTCCACTCCCACCTTCCTCCATCCATCCCTCGAGAGAAGCTGAGCCCTCAGGAGCCGGGAGCTAAGAGGCTCATAGGATCCCATCATAGGATCCCAGACCCAGGGCCAGATGGACCCTCAGTGGACAGCTGGTCCAAAATTTTCATTTCACAAATAGAGCCCTGGGAGGTAAAGACCAGCCCAGGATTAGAACCCATAGCACAGAGCACTGGGCCTGGAGAGGGGAAGACCTGAGTACAAATTCTGCTTCAGACACTTAATAACTGTGTGAGACTGGGCAAGGCACTTAGCCCCTCTCAGCCTCAGTTTCCTCATCTGTCAAATGGGAATAATAATAGCACCCACTTCCCACAGTGGTCTTGAGGATCAATTAAAATATTTTTAAAGCACTTAGCATAGTGCTTGCCACATGGTAGGAACTATTATTATTATTATTATTATTATTATTATTATTATTATTTATTATTATGGGGCAAAGGCAGCATTTGAATTCAGGTCTTCTGACTTCTGTATCTTCCTGTTATATTCCCACTGCCTCTCTGTCAGGACTGCTGGCTTCTCTTCTCAAAGGTGGAGAACATGAGACATATCTCTCTAACATCTCCTGGGGTAAGTCCCCTCTCCCAGCCAGGTCAGGAGATGCCCCTGAGGGGAGCTGGGAGGCCCTTGTGAGCCTCCAAAAGCTGGGCTGTCCAGGAATCCCAAAGTACATTTTCTGAAGATGCCTGCCCTGGAGGAGCAGGGAGAGAGGACATGAATGCAAGGTCAAGGCAGGAACACCGGGTTTGGAATCAGGACTGACTTGGGTATGGCTCAGACTCTCAAATTTCTTCCCCTGGAAAATGCCTCTCGGGGTTCTTCCAACTCTAGGGCTATGAAAATTAAAAGAAAAATGACTAGAATCCAGGCCTCCTCCTTCCCAACTGCTTTAGTTATGAGTTATGTCCATTAAAACCATGAGTTTCCCCAGACAACTCATTCCAAAGCCGAGCAGAATCCCAGATTCCATGGGTGGTTTCTGCTGACAAGACCAGAAGGGCTGGGGCCAGCCTCTGCCATTCCCCTTCATCTCACATCCTCCCCAGCTCTCCACCTCTGGACCCAAGGACTGCCCTTCATGCCACTCTGCCCCCCAATCCTGGGTCCTGACACAACCTCGGGTCACTGGAGGGAAGAAACTGGCCTTGTCCTCCTGTCTGCTAGACCCTCAGCCTTCTTAGGAGGCAGCTGGGGTGGTTCAGCAGATACAGCGCTAGGTCTGGTGTCAAGAAGAGCCAAGTTCAAATCTGACCTCAAACACTAGCTGTGTGAGTCTGGGTGGTCTGCCTCAGTTTCCTCAACTGTAAAGTGGGGATAATCTTGCAGGGTTGTCGTGAGGATGCAACGAGCTATTTCTAAAGTGCTTAGCACAGTGCCTGGCACATAGTAGGTGTTTAACAAGTTTTCCTTCCTTCCTTTCTCCCTCTCTCACTTTGTAAAGTTGCTATCTACCACAGAGCAAGGTTTGGGGCTACCCAGTGCTCTGGGGTCCTCCCTCATTGTTAGCAGCATCAGAAAAGTTCAGAGGGGGATACCAACTAGCTCACCCAGACACACTGCCAGGGGTTAGCCTACCCTAATATAGAGTCTGCACAGAGGCCCTCTCTTCTGCACCCTAAAACTACCCCAAAGTTACCCGGTTGCCCAGTATGGAGCTCTGAGACCAGTAAATGCTTGCTTGTTGAATGACTGGATGACTAAGTCTCAGGGCAGGGCAGGCCAGGGAATGCGTGAGGGAAGCCCCCTTTGCTGTGCCTGGCTCAAAAGCTCTTGAACAGGCCTGGCCATGGGACCCAGGCTGTCTGTGTGTCCCCGCCCAGCTGGGCTGTCTCAGTGGGGGCCTTTCCCATCTCCTGACTCTCCATGGCCACCGCCACCGTGGCTTGGAAAGAAATAAGCAGGTGGGGCTGTCTGGCAGCACTTACGTGGGCTGCCCTCCCAACCTCTGCCAAGCCGGGAGCAGCTGGGGCCGCTGGGCACTCACTGCCTGGGTACCCGGGAGCCTGGGCGCCAGCCCTGGCCCGTCTGCCCTGGGCTTCTGGGCTCTCTCAGGTCCCAGGCCAGGGGGCTGAGGCTGCAAAGCCCCCACTGGGAAGAAAGCCTGGGGCCCAAGGATCCCCCAAAGTCTGTGCTTCTACCCTATAACTCTGGTCTGGAGGAGCTAAAAATACAGGCGTGCTTTCCCCTGAGGGCTTCATTGTAGCCTGGTGGCTCTGGAAAAAAAAAACCCACCAAAACAGTTCGACCAGCCACCAAGAGTGCCTGGCCCCCCAGGAGTTGGGGGAGACAGGGAGAGCAGGAGGGAGGGAGCTGGTAGAGCTAAGGGTCGCCCAGTCCAGGCCTGAAGTCTCCAGGTAGGCTGGGCAGGGGGCTTTTCTCTTCCTGCCCCTCTTAGCCAGGGGCCTCTGCTCCCTGGTCCCTGTCAGGCTGGGAGGGTCCAGTTCAGGCTCCACTAGTAACTTGCCGTGTGAGCCTGGCCAAATCCCACGCTCTCTCGGGGACCCTCACTGTTTCTAAGCTGGGAGTTGAACAAAATCACCTCTGCAGGCTAAGTCCTGGAAGGGACCCAGGAGGCCGGGAGTCTGCCCTCTCCACACACTCAGAGCTCCTCTCTTCTTTTTTGCCCCTAAAACAATCACTACACCAAGCCAGTAACCATGCTAGGTGGGGCACCAGACAGTCAGGCCTGGAGTTGGGAAGACCTGAGTTCAAATCTGACTTCAGATGCTTACTAGCTGTTAGACCCTGGGCAAATCACTCTCAGCCTGCCTCAGTTTCTTCATCTGTAAGATGGGGGATAATAATAGCACCTAGCTCGCAGGGTTGTTGTGAAATCAAATGAGGTAATCTATATAAAATACCTTGCAAACCTTAAAGCATTAGACAAATGCTATTACTATTATTATTATTATTATTATTATTATTATTATTATCGTAGGTTTCTGGCATGCCATTATGAGGCTCAGGGTTAGTGAGGAGTGGGGCATATTTCTTGGGGCTCAGGGAAGAGAAAAGAGAGGGACAGCCTCAGAGAGCATCTCTTGGGGCCTTAGAGGTCATGTGATCCAACCTGCTCATTTTACAGATGAGGAAACTGAGACCCAAAGTGACATAGTGTTAGTAGGATCCCAGAATAAAGAGCTCTAAAGGAAGCTCTAAAGGAAGATGAGGAAACTGAGGCATTGACAGTCAGCACCCGCAGAGCTCTGAGCCCACGGCTGTTTTCCAACACTTCCCCACAAAGCAGCTGGGGAGAGGGCGGCATCCCAGCGCCCGAAGTTCACGCGTCTCTCACCAGCTCATCGAGGTTCCGGAGGTCACACGGGGTCATCCTGGGGCCCCGGCTGCGGTAGGCCCCAATCCCGGAGGCCGGGTCCGCCGGGCGCTGGTCCCTATCCTCGTCCCCAGTGGTGGGAGGCCCGGGCTCCCTGGCCTGGTCCCTCAGCTCCTCCTCAATCTCCTCCTCCAGCTGGATGAGCATCGGGGCCAGCACCCCAAACTTGGAGCCCCGACGGGCCACCTCCAGCAAGCAGAGCACAAAGTTCTTCTCATTCTTGCGTAAGACCAGGTCGTCCGTCTCAAACATCAGAACCTCCGGGATGCCCAGCTCTCCGCGGCACCAGGTGATGAAGTTGGACACGTTGTCTCGGGCCAGGAAGGAGCCTGGGGCCACTCCGTGAGCTTGGAACACCACCTCTCTGGAAGGCAAGCGCAAGAGGCCAGCAGCCTCCGGGTGGCTGCCCGCGAAGTCCCTGGCGATGCCGTTGACGTTGTTGGCATGGCGGCACAGCACCGCCCCGGTCTCCAGCGCCTCCAGGAAGCCCCCGCCACCGCCAGGGACGGCAAGGCCATACAGGGCATTCAGCCACTCGGCAAGGTCTTCCTTCATGGCATCCAGGTACTCCTCGCTGGAGCGGAAGGGCCGGATGCTTTTAGAGGCTGAACACTGAATACTACTCTTCTCCTTCTCTGCCATGGCTGGGACCGGGCTGCTGGTCATCCTTGGGGCCCTCACTGCTGCGGGGAGATGGAAACAAGTAAGCCCCAGGATGCAGAGAGGGAGAGGCGCGTCCCAGGAAGGGGCTGCCAGAGCGGGCTGAGGCCTCATCCTCTCCCACCACAGGTGTGCCTCAGATCCTTTCTAGGGATGGACCTTGGTACATAGAACAGGGGGTGTCAGGGCTGGGAGGGGCCGAGAACAGCGGGTGTCAAGGCTGGAAGGGGCCCAAGAACAGGGAATGTCAGGGCTGGGAGGGGCCTTGGAGAGAATCAGTTCCAACTCTTTTATTTTATATACAAAAACTGAGGGCCAGAGGGATGTGACTAGTCCAATGTCACCAGGAAAACAGTCCACCCCGATTTCTGGCTCCTGGGGCTCCTTTCCACGCCCCGTGAGCCCCTCAAGTCAGGTTTTCCTCTGAGTCTCTCCCCACCCTCGCGGTGGACTCCCCACCTTCTCCCAGGCTAGATCAATCGGCCCTTTGGGGGCGGGGCCTGTGAAGAAATCGACAGGGGCGGGGCCGGAGCTGTTCTCAGGAGTTGGGGTGGGGGGAGGAGCCGGGGCTCTCCCACCTCCGCTCCGAGGTGGGGGCCTTCCGGGAAGCCTCAGTTTCTCCAGCTGGGCAGGGGGCTGGAGAGGGGAGGGTCTCGGCGTGGGCGGGGCCCAGGCTCCCGACACCTGGCGGTTTGACCACCCCCCACCCCAGCTCCCTGGGCTCACCTGCCTCATCCTGCTCTCCCACCGAGATCTCCAAGCGCTGCCCGCAGCCAGGGGGCCCCCGGCTCCGTCCGAGCAGCGCATGGCCGGCCACAGCCCCAGGGAACCCTGGCCGCGGCCCCGGGGGGGGGAGGTCCTCCGAGGGCTCCGCCGTGCCCCGGGGGCTGCGCTCGGGCCCCCGCCTCCAGGCCGCCCTCCGGGCCTCCCCCCAAGCGCGCCGGGCTGGGCGCAGGCTGGGCCCGGCTAGTCAGGCCTCCGCCGCCGGCAGAAAGAGGAAAGAAGCCCAGCCCCGAAAAGCCCCGGCTCCCCCTTCCCCCCGCCCTCCCTCCGTCTCATTTATTATTTTTTTCTCTCCTCCCCCCTCCCGCCCCCCCCGAACTTGGAGCCGAACCAGGGAGGGCGGGCGCGCATCACTTAAAGGGCCCGCGTCCCGCGTAGCAGCTCCCGGCCGGGGGGGCCTCCCAGAGCTCCCCCCCAGCCCCCAGCGGGGAGAGGGAGACCCCCGGTCCGCGCCCGCGCCCACCTGTGCCCCGAGGTGTCCGTGGATCTCCAAGCGCCTTATCCGCAGGACCGCAGCCAGCGGAGAGGGAATGCCAGGGGGACTGGCCCCCAGCCCTGAATTCCTGCCCCTGCGCCGATGCCACGGATCTCAGTGCGCGCTCTAGACGGGATCCCTCCGGGCTCGGGGCGCCTTCATCCTAGGAAGCGCAGCGGACCGTGAGAGCCCCAGAGCGGACCCTCCTCTCCTCCCAGGTGCAGGAGGGGGCTGCAGGTGGAGGCGTGGGGATGAGGTCCCCGTGGCCGAGGAAGCCCCTCTACAGAGTCTCTGCCGCGGGCGGAGTGGGAGAGGCTTGGGAGCTGGAAGCCGCCTCCAGCCTCCGGCGGAGCTGACCAGCCCCACTAACCTCGCAGTCCTTAGGAGCTAACCACCACCCGCCCCCAGCCTTCCTGGCGCTTCCTCCTATCGCTCTGCCCAGAGCCCGCCCGACACTAATCAGACTTCCACCTTAAGCTCCCGGTCCGTGGGAGTGGAGTGGGGGAAGTCACTATCTCAGCCCCCTTCCCCCAAGCCTTTGGGGAGGGGAAACGTTCCCACCCCTTCCTCGGCCTTCAGGGCTCTTCTAACCTGCCTCCAGCCTGCGCAGAGGCTGGGGACACTATGACTTTAATAACTCCAGTGAGGTAATTGGGCCCCCTCCCCCTCGGCCCCCTCCCCTCCCCCTTTCCCTCCCCAGGGCTGGATTCTGGCTGGTTGTGTCTGGAGGTGAGTCACGCCCTGGGCCGCGAGCAAGTCTCAACGTTCCTCCGGCTCCTCCATAGTCTGGCTCTGGCTGGAGAGAGAGAAGAGAGACAGAGACTACAGAGACGGAGAGAGGGGGTGGGGAGGGAGCGGGGGGGGGGGGAGTCTGAAGGCCTGGGTCTGAGGACAACAAATCCCCACCCACCCTCATCCCCACTCCCCTGGGGGCAGCAGGGGAATGGATGGGGATGGGGCCAGCCAGGCACAGCCTGTTCCTAGGCCTCCCTACAACACCCGCTCAGGAAAAGATACTTTGGGTGGCCAGGGGATCCTTTCCTGGGGGCCTGAGGAGGAAGGAAGGGACTGTGCCTGGTCACCTCCGGCCTTGGACCAGTTTGGCCTTGGGAGGGTGATAAGAGGGGGAGGGCTGGGCTGGGAGGCGGCCTGGGCCTCCGCTGTCCCAACCACCCATTCGGTGCCTGACTCCAAGGATCCAGGCCAAAGGAAATCTACATCCTACTGGGGGAGGGCCCAAACCTGCAGGGATGGCAAATGCCCCCTTAACCTCAAGAAGCATCATGTGTGATGGAAAATGTCCAGCTTTGACTCTAGGCCTCGGTTTCCTCATCTGTAAAATGGGGCTAACAATAGCACCTACTTCCCAGGGTGCTAAACGAGATGACACATTTACCAACTAATCCTAATGTACTGTATAAATAAATCCTCGCTGTAATTATGATGGAAATCAGGGTTTGCGGACTGACCGAGGAAATGCAAACGGGCTGGAAAGCGGGCCTCGGCTACGCCCCCCCCTTCCCCTTCCCCCTGCCCATAGCAGCTGCGGCTGGGGCCCCTGCACAGGGTTAACAACACCAGGGCTTATTTTCAAACAGAAAAGGAGGGCCTAGAGTCCAGCCAACCAGCGCCTAGGAAATGTGGCCATCTGCGGCGCTGCTCCTGGGGGAGGAAGCCTGGGGGAGGATGCTGGAAACGAAGGTTGGGGGAGTGGGGAGTATCCAGCAGCATCCCTGGGGCAGCTAGGGACAGGGGCTGGGGGTGGGGGGGCAGGCCACCAGCCTTCGTGGGAGCCCAGGGCAGCGCTGCGGGAGGTTTCTAGGGTGTCGTCTCCCCAGGCTGCTGACCCCTGGGGTTGGGGAGCCAGGAGCCAATCAGGGTTTTAGTCTGCCAGGGTACCACTGGGCTTCTAGCAAGCCTGTTTTCCATCAGGCTTTGGAAGGGACGTCGCTGCCCCTGACTATGGCTGGCAGGGCCTGTATCATTCAAGCTTTGCCAAACCCTCATCCTCAGACATTTCTCTAAGGTCAGGAGCTCTTTGACTCTGTATTCCTAATGCCTTGTACACATTCAAAAAATGCTTGTCAGAGTGTTCATCTGAAGTGAAAGTATCATCCTCATTTTACAGGTGAGAACACTGAGGTTGAAGGTGTAAGGTGCATGCCTTAGATCACAGAGCTAGCCTCTGAGGTGTGATTTGAACCAAGGTCCCTTAATTCCAAACTGGGGTTCTATTATTTCAAGATACGGTAAAGTTGGGCTTCCAAATTAGTATTTGTAAAAATCTGATGTTACGGCTCTGTGAAGAAGCTTCATGGCTCCCTCTTGCTTCTAAAATAAAATGTATACTTTTTTTTAAAGTCAATTGGAGTTAAGTGACTTGCCCAGGGTCACACAGCTAGTGTCAAGTATCTGGTCTGAAGGCTGATTTGAGGTCAGGTCCTCCTGACTTCGGGGCTGGTGCTCTATCCGCTGTGCCACCTAGCTGCCCCAATAAAATATATACTCTTCTGTTTTGTATTTCAAGCCCTCCCTAATCTGGAGCTCTGCCACCCACCTGGCCAGACTTAATTCCTATTACTACCCCTTGAGAAGGCTCCATTCCAGCCAGACCAGCCTATAGGTTTGCTGGCCCCAGAAGGGGACATTCCATCAACCACAGCCTTTGTACATACAGGCCTTCCCCTGAGCTCTCTCATTTCCTTCAAGACCCAGCTTGGGTGCTGACTCCTGATACCTCCCATTTTTCATCCCCTTGCCCTCCAAAAAAAATTGTTTGAAAAAACTCTTTGTGGATAGGGACGGTTTTGTTGCATTTATATGCCCAGGACCTGGCATAAGGATTGGGCATATAATAGGCGCTTAATAAATGATGATTGAATTGAAATGGAGATGAATTCCAAACCTCATGTTGTACAGATGAGGAAACTGAGGCCCAGATATGTGAAGTGAGCTGCCTGGCATCTGACGGGGGTGGAACCCCTGACCCCAGACCCAGGGTCCTTTCCTCTGCCTACATTATCCTCCCAGGGGCAAAGCCAGTAGGCTCTGAAAGCCAGGCCTCCTAATGGGAAGGAGTTCTGTAGAGCACTTTCCAACCTTCAAGCTGTATATAAATGTGGGCTGTTGTTTTTAATTATTAGTTATGATCACTGGGGCCCGAGAGCCCCAGGGAAGCAGAAGTCCAAGCGGTCCAGGCAAAGAGGGAGCCTCACTGTGTTTGTGGGCCCTTCTCACATTCCTCCAGGCCTGGGACCCACCCAGTCCTCTGATCAGAGACAAAGCAGCTGAGCCCCAGTCTCTGCTGGGGGGAACAGAGTGAGCTCATCACTTGGCAAAGGGCCCCTCACCCAACCCCTCTGGGCAGGAAGCTGAGACCAAGGGGCTTAGGAGTCACCCAAGAACTTGACCCACTTGCAGGGGGGCCAGGCCCCCTTAGCCAGGCTGGTTTACTAGGGTTGTCTCAAGTCCTGTGTGACCCCAAAGCTCAGGCCCAATGCTACCTGACCTGTCTTGCTGCTCTCTCAGTGGGAGATAAGGTCACTGAGGCCAAAGCCTTTCCCCAGGGGGTGGCCATCCGGGTGCCCTTGAAGCCTCTCTGATTCAAGTTGGCCCAGATCCTGCCACTGGGGAGGGCTGAGGAGGGCTGGGGACAGAGGAGGAAGCCACGGCCCCATTACCTCCCCACAGCCTTCTCCCAAGCCCTGCCCTGAGTCTCACCAACATCACTCACTGACCCACAAAACTCTCAGGCCTGTTAGTAGCTTGGCATTGAGCCAACCTTGGGGTGGAAAGCCGGAATCGGCAAACAGCCCTCTGGCGTCACTGACTGCCCCGTGTGATAGCCAAGTCATAGTAGTGGGTCAGGGACGAAGGAAAAAGGTGGTGGCTGGGAGATGGAATGCGCTGGTGGGGAGCCACCTATGGGGTGTGTTTGGTGGTCCTGTGGACTCTGGAGTCTGAGGACCTGGGTTCAAATCCCCACTTGGACACTTTGGGTTAGTCACTAGCTATGGCCTATGAACTCACCCACCCTGGTAGATTCCCCCAGCGCTGGGGGGGTCTTCAGGCCTCAGTGACTGACCTGTGATTGACCCGTTCCCCCAAACTGGCCGAGCTCAGCATAAATATGGATATTGAAAGGTATTTAACCCCATTTGGGTCACTTTTGGGCCACGAGGCATTAACACCACATTTCCCCTGACCCGTGGGATACAAGAGACTGAAAATTTGTTAGTTTAGAGCAGACCCCAGAAAAAGACTTTCCAGTTGACTGATCATGGTCCCCTAACTCACAGATGGAGACTTTGTTTCAGTTTTTTGTCTTTATCCTCAGTGCCTAACACCTAGTAGGTGCTTAATAAATGCACATTTCTACAATGTTCATGGACTGAGTATCTAATGTGTGCCAAGTGCTGGAGATGAAGTCCCTGCCTTCAAGGACCTTCATTCCATTGAGAGGAACAGCACCCACACAGATTGGTAAATGCAGGGAAGATAGAAAGTAAAGTAGGAGGGGGAGAGGCCCTAACTAACCACTGGGCTCGGGGAGTGTAGGAAGGTGCTCAGTAAAAGTCTCATGTAGGAGGTGGTGACAGCTGAGCCTTGAAGAAAGCTGGAGATTCTAAGGGGTGGACGGCAGATCAGGGAGGGGGCCCAGCCAGTGCAAAGCAATGGAGGCCTTGGTTGGAATCAGTCAGTATGTCTGGAATGCACAGTGCGCCCAGGAGAGTGATGAATGCAAGGGGTTGGCTGGTCCAAGCAGGGAAGACTTTGTATTCTATCCTAGAAGCAAGAGGGGCATTGTCAGACTTGGGCTTGGAGAAGGGAGAGGTTTGAGGCAGGAGACTCATTAAGGGGCTGTCCAGATAGCCAAGATGAGAGATGAGCGGGTGGAGAGAAGGGGTAAATGGATGGGCTTTCTTGCAGAATCTCTCCAGCTTTAAAATGCTAAGATCTGAGGCTGTTTCATCTGTGGAAAGAGCCTTGGGGCTTCACTTGCCTGGTACCTTGGGATTTGGGGGGAAGCCACATCATCTCTTTTGGAAAATGGGATAACTTTCTGCCCCTCCTTCCAGGGCTATGACAAGGAAAGGCATTTGTAAATTTGTAAAAAGTGTAAATTCTGGAGTTGGCCCCTTTCATCATTTTCTCTGATCTTCTCCATCTTTTTATCCACCGGCTGCTGCTGCCAAGGGATGTGCCTAAGTCTCCTCCTATCTTTAAGCAAAAAATCCCACCCTGACTTGATCCTGCCATCCCCCAAACTGTCCTCCTTTTCACCAGCAGACTCCCAGAAAAGGCTAATTAATTAGATCTATTGCTTCTGTGTCTTCACCTCCCACTCGCCACTTAGCCCTGTGTGATTCTGGCGGCTGATCCCATCACTTGACCGAAAGCACACTCCAAGGTCACCCACGCTCTGCTAATTGCTGTACCCAGTGGCCTTTTGCTCAATCCTCAGCCTTCTTGGTCTCTGCCTATGCAATCCTGGATGCAATTTCTCCCCTAAGCTTCAGTGGCTCTGCTCTTCTCCTACTCCCTGTCCTCCCTCAGTCTCTTTAGTTGTCTCATGATTCATGTTCTGCCCGAGTTTGTGGGTCTGTGCCAGGGCTCTCTCCACTCCTCTCTCTACCCTCTTGGTGACCCCAGCACCTCCAATGGGTTGGAATCCATTGGTAGCCCCCAAGTCTACAGATCCTTCCCTGGTTCATCCACCCCACGTCACCAGCTGCCTATTGGACATCTCAAACTCTACTTGTCCAAAATAGACCTCGTTATCTTTCCCCCCCAAACATTCCCCTCTGTTGAACCTCCTGTCTCCCTTGAGGGTACCAACATCCTTCCAGTCTCCCCAGGCTGACCGCCTTTGTGTCATCTTCCTCCACATATGACATGGCTTCCCTTTGGTTGACATATAATCTCCTGTTTGATGTATAAAACTCTTTCGCTAGGTGTCAGAGTAGATAGAGTGCTGGGCCTGGACTCAGGAAGACCTGAGTTCAACTCCAACCTGAGATACTAGCTATGTGTCCCTGGGCAAGTCACTCAACTTCTTTGCCTTGGTTTCCTCATCTGTAAAATGGAAATAATAATAGTAACAATAGTACTATCAAAAGCCCCTACCCCCCAAGGTGGTTGTGAGAATCAAACAAGAGAACAATTGAAAAAGCACCTAGTACAGTGTGCGGCACATAGCAGGAGCGATATGAATGGTAGCTATTATTATTAATAATTTGGCTCCAGCTTTCCTTCTGGAGGGAGTATTATTACTTTCCCCGGTGCTTTCTACACTCCAGCCACGCTGGGCTACTTGTCCCCCTTTGTCCAGGCTGTTTCCTGTGCCTAGAATACTCTTCCCCCCTCTGAAGCTTCCTTCGGGGCCCAGCTCCATCTCCTACAGAAGGTCCTTCACAATGACCTCCCTTCTACCCCTCTTCCCCATTCTCCATGCTCTCTCTACCACCGGAATTATCTGCCACTGTTGACTTACCTGTGGGCTGTTGTATCCCTCTAGGGGCAGCTAGGTGACGCAGTGCATAGAGCACTGGCCCTGGATTCAGGAAGACCTGAGTTCAAATCCGGATTCAGACACATAACACTGATTAGCTGTGTGA